GAGTGAAAATAAACACACGATCCTCTGAAGTTCCTCGAGAAATAAGCTATCAAAGTTTGAGATATCTTCGATCAGAATGAGATTGATGACACTTGATATCTTATGCTTTGAGATTGGAGGCTAATCTTTGATGAAATAGCCTTTGAGAATCGGTGATTCACCATACTTGAACCCTTGAAAAATCCAAAACCTTAACTGAGATGTAACACCTGATGCTCTTGATTCAGACCTGTCTCTGTACATGAAAACCAAAGAAACAAAACATACACCTTTGTATTTGATTAGAAGTTAATGATGCATAAGACAAGGCGTTCACAACACTTGACAATCTTTGCTCGAAGGTGAGAGGGTTAAAAACCAATTGTATCTCGTGACCTTGATGTTATATGAAAATGCAAATGAAGGTGGAATCTTAGGTTAAAAATTGGGATGTGACAGCGACAATCAAAGATTAGTCTCAAAGAATTAGCCCATGAGAAAGTTTGATGAGCCAATTGATGACTATTTTAACAAATTCCGTTTGTTGAAGGCAAGGTATTTTACACAAGTGCCTGAACATGAGTTGGTCAAAATAGCCGCAGATGGTTTGTATTACTCCATTCGAAAGAAATTAGACACCCAATATTTGAGGGATATGGCCCAATTAGCATACCGAGTTCGACAAGTGGAACGTCTGAGGGCTGAAAAGGCTAGGGCGGATAAAAATGATAGAAAAGAAAGGGTTGCATATGTCGAAGCCAAGGAAAATGAAGAAGAGATCTATAGTGACTATATAGGCTTCGAAGAAGGCGAAGTGGGCTTGGTTTTGAAGAGATCTTCAGTAGCCTTCGTCATTTCAGCATCTGGAGTAAAACCATTAGCAGTCCATTTTGCTTTCTTTGAAACTTATAGGGTCACTGTAGATCTCTTGCTCGTCTTCTTCGGCTTCAACATGTCACCCCTTCTTTCCTATTATTTTTATTTGCCCTGGCCTTTTCACCCTTCAATCGTTCGACTTGTCGAACTCTATCTGCTAGTTGGACCATGTCCCTTAGATATTGGGTGTCTAGCTTCTTTTGAATGGAATAATCCAAACCGGCTGCAGCCATTTCGACCAACTCATGTTCAGGCACCTGTGTAAAATATCTTGCCTTCAACAAAAGAAATCTGTTTAGGTAATCATCAATTGGCTCTGTGAATTTTCTCTTGATACTAGCCAATTCTTTTAGACTAATTTTTTATTGTCCTATGTAAAATTGTTTATGGAATAACCTCTCTAAGCGAGTCCAATCATCGATAGAATTTGTTGGGAGGGTAGTGAACCATGTGAAAGCATTCTTCGTTAGCGAACTAGGGAAGTATCTTTCCTTAGGTTTTCGCTATTCGCTATGTCCTCAGCCTCGATAAGATACATGGCTATATGTTCAACAGTGGATTCGCTGGTGTCAGCAAAGAATTTTGTGAACTTTGGGACTTTCCAACCCCTAGGTAATTCAGTTTGTAAAACATATTCAGACAAAGGGGATGTATAATTAGGCCTTCGAAGGCTTATATTTACCCCCATTTCGAGCCATTATCATTTCGACCATGACTGCCCGATTATTTTCCCCTGCGTATTCGTCTTGTTGAACTCGTTGAAGGACTTCGTCAGCATCCTGGTTTTGGTTGACCATCACAACCCTTTGGGTTGGGATTTCCATTGGTATGGCTTATTCCACTCTTGGTTGTTCGACTTTTGGCCTCTGGTTAACTTCACCCATATTCTATGCACCTGGTTGCGCTTGATCTACAGTTTGTTTTCTTCAAAAACCACTATTTGGTTTTCTCTTATCCAAATTGGATGGGGATGTTGAACTGGGACTCTAGGGGCATCAAAAGAGTCTGCAATTTGTGCCACCTGCGCTGCCAATTTGTTGATTTGTTTGAGCATTTTGTTGGTTGGTTTGAGTAGCACTTTGGATTAAAAGGTTAAATATTATATACATTTGTTGGGCCAACACACCAACCATTTCATGATTTCTATCATCCATTTGTTGTCGAAACACCGCTGCAGAATTCGTTGTGAGATTAGGTAACTTGGGAACGAATCTTGGGGGTAGGACAGTTCGACCCAAGTTATTATTTCCTGATCCTGATCCTTGTAGTGGTGAAAATGTAGACACTCTTGGGTCAGAAAGTGTTGATGTACTATTGTTTAGGCTTGCCATCACAGATGTTGGTATGCCATATAATTGCTCGCGGCCATCCATTGCCATTGTGAATCCATACGCAAAATGTCTAAAATTATTCATCCTCGATGGTCTTGTGTTCGCTAGAGAACCTTGTGTGCGCACTGGGAACAAAATTGGACTGTTATAAGTACTTGTCGAATTTCCTGTTGTGTTTGCTTGAACAGGTATTGATTCGGTTGTAGACGATGCGATCGTACTTTCTCATGTCAAGGGAGAGGGTCGTTCGTTGTTGTTGGGTGGTGGGTTAACCATCTTTTTAGTGTATTTTCTTTTTGGTATATGTTCATTAGTTTTGGCTAATTTTCCACTCTTTAATTTCATGCAACAAGGTTAAACAAACAAATTGAAACGAAATGACACAAAACAGAAACTTTGTGAAACGAAACAAGACGCTGATCCTACTGAACGTGTTAATTTGTTTACCATGAAAATTGGTAAACAACCGCTAGTCTTCCAAAACGAAGAAAAAAATTGATTACTCACAGGATCGACTAGATTGATCCTAGGATGTGTGTTTTGTTTCAAAGGTTTATATCTTTCGAATGTTCATATTTTCAAAGGTTATAGTTTATGTGTAAAGGACGAAAATTCTATGTAAAATGGCTATAGGAAAATAAAAGTACTTCGACTTAAAAGTAAAAGGAATAAAAAGGACTTTGATAAATGTAAATTGACAATTAAATAAAATATGATGATTCATATATACATTCTCAATTACTCTTTTCTCTAACACTTGTACTTCGAGTTTATCTGAGTAATTTGTACACAAATGAACACACCGAATCTTAATACAAGAGATCCATATTTTACTAATTCGACCGTAACGGTCTTACTCTATAGAAACGCCATGTTCGATGATGCATGCTTTCCTGAACCCTCGGGCTTCCACGTGTCTTTCTAGATAAGACCAAATCATTTAAATTCATATTCGTCTCTGATTCAATGCACCAAAATAATAATGTAACTTGTCGAAGCATTTGAATTCAAAACTTGAAATTTCCTTAAGTTCCACATATTCTGCAACATAAGAACTTTCGTGAACCTTTTAATGTAACCAAGTTATTTACAATTTGGTCAGTCGAAGACCATATAAAAAATATTCTCATAATCTCTTCCATAGCTAAACTTTTTTCGACTTCTTCATTTTCCTTAATGTCATGTGTCGTCAAAATTCTCATCTAACACGAGGAGAGGGCTAACTTACAAGATTAACACTCCAACACCTAAGTCGGTGATAAAATGAAAAGCAAGGCTAGAGTTAGAATGGATTTAAATACCTTAAATGTCGCACTTTTCTCTTTATATAGTTAGAACGATTAAAACCATCCACTTAAGGTTAGGTGCTCTGTACATATAATCGTTGGATCTAATCAGACGGTTGTAGACGTGTCAGATGGGCGAAATTACCTATTCTTGAATGAATGAAAGTTTATCTGCTATATTTGCTTTCCGCTTAGTAGTGCTCTTGGACCTTTTGCTTTAGACCTTATGAACGACCCAAAACACTCTTAATAAAAACCTCTCCTAACTTAAATGTTATTTTTTAATAATTTAACCAGATTATCTATTTCAAACATGACAAGTTAATTCACATTAAACTAAACTTTTTTTTTTTGCTTTATGCATTCTGCTTCCTAGGGAAAAGAGACCCTACTAATCTAGAGTTGGTGCCTAGAGGTCATAGCACTGACCAATCATTGTTTCCAACAGAAATTGAAAACAGAAATTGAACTCGATATTTCCCGAGTGTCGTCCTTTGCAAGAGTTCCTTTACCACTGAAACCCAAGTGCCTAGTTTAAACTAAACATGTTTTCATTTTTATTATTTTTCAAACTCAAAAAACTAGATGTAACATTAAAATAATTTTCTTAAAAGTACAATATGTTGCATCAACTTAATCAAATAAATATTAATGAACACTTCATTAGCTCATATTGAGTTTGAGTTTAGGATCTAAGATAGAAATGAAATATATTCAAACGTGAATGAAACCATTAAAAATATTTAAGATAGAAAATAAAATTACAAGCCAAAATGACAAGTATGGACTTCTATATCAGTTGTTTACATTTAATCAACTCCTAATTCTTTAAATCTTTAAGATTAATCTCCAACACGATCAAGATGAAAAATATTTAAAGATCTTTTTAATAATCGTAATACCTGGGACTAACAGGGCTTAGGTATTATGCAATGCACATACAGTAAGTTCAGATAATTATAAACTAATCCTTTAATACTATAAAACACATGCCACAATTTTATAAAAAAAAAAAAAAAAAGCATTTATAAATCAAATATTGTCCCTCATTCTTGTGTAAAAATGGAAGAAATAGAGAGAATTGTGATTCTAACTATTTCTTACATTTCCTAAACTAATAATATCAAGCATAAAAAGTTTATTACAAGTACATTATAAGTACATGTCTTGATGGACATAACTTATAAAGTTTAAACCACAACTACATTTATGTTTTGAAAATCACCCACAACTGCTTTGTACATATTTAAAATATCACCTTATATTTGTGGAATTTTGGTGACACCGTAAATTTGTACATAGGTGCATTTAATACCACTGCATATGTAATCATACACTCTGTCTTCTAAACTTCAAGTTTTGATTAAGCTTTCAACTTTCAAGGTTTTAAACAATTACTATAGCTTTGTGTGTATATTTTTTGGAATCAATTTTATATACCATGACTATATAAATTACACGCACAATATTCAGTCAAAAACAACTGAAACGGCATAATCTTTTACCAGCAATTGAGCTGGACACAGAAATGTACAAAATCTATCCAGATAATAAGAAAATATTAAAAATTCATAATATCATTATTCACAGACACTTAATTTTGGACGAAGTTCATCGATCCGGCAACCAGTCAGTGATGCAGATGATACTATCATCTACACAACCAATGCCCAAGGAATTTTCTTATTTACTCCCCAAAACCCAGAAAATAGAAGAAAAAAACATAAACAACACTGCTCCAAGTGTATATTTATTTATATTGGCTTCTTCAGTTGTAGGTAGATTGATCCCTTGAACAAAGACTTTTGCAAATTAGTCCCTGTGTTTCCCATATATAGCTTTCTTCAATAGATTCTCTCAATTATATGTCCTTTTTGAAAGGACTAAATTAAAAACAAAAACAAAAAATTATTAACAAAAGTATAGAGTTAAAATTACTCAACTCTTTTATTTTTTTAATCTCTTTCACCCCTAATTCTCCCTTTTTATAAATAATGACCATTTTTTTTATAAGCAATGTGTGGTTTAATAGAATTTGTTTTTTTTTTCTCCTCCCCTCCCCACCCTCTCCACTCATATTCTCTTTCTCAATAAAAACTCATTCTTCCAAAGAATGCGTATTTGGACGATAGAGATCATAAGGAGCCCATAGATGATCAACCGAACAAGGTCTTCTTGAATCCAATCTCAACCATGGTTTTCCTTTACCACTCCAATGAAGCAAACTAATAGGACCAGGATGCAAACTTCTGCATTTTCCCTCAAGGTTATCACCTCCAAGTCCATGTTGATTCCATCTATGATCCACACTCTTCAATTCCCCGGCCAAAACCAAGAGAAAAGGTGGCAAAGATCCTAAATGATATATCCTCTTTCGTTTCTGCACTGACATCCAATGCTCCACCTTTTGTGTATACTTTCCTTCTCTCCATTTCTCCACATCCATAACCATCACCCCCGTGTTAAAATAACACGGTTTCCGACCGTCAAAAGTACGACGTAGCTCAACATCGTTCCAAAACAATTCCGTAAAATACTCTGTGAAATTCGCGTGACAATATTCTGGTGCAGCCAATACCTTGCCCTGCAAGTCAACCTCCCATAGCTTTGCAATGTCGTCAACAACAACAATATCAGAATCAAGATATATAACTCGCTTGACATAAAGAGGGAGAATATCAGAAAGGTATATTCTTGCATAATTAAGAGGTTGATCCAATGCTTGACGAATCGATTTCGAGATTTTACCGCGTACCCTATTGGATTCAAAGCGATAAATCTTGAATTTGAGGTACGGGAAGGTTGATCTTATGCTTAGGAAAACCTGAGGCTCAAACCTTGCCCAAAGGAAATGAAACTCAACATTTTCAGGACATGTTGAATGTTGCAAAATGGAAAGGACAGCAGCCATGGTTCCTCTGAGATAATTTGAGTCCAATGTCATGGAAATGTGGATGCTTTCCTTGTTGCATGTGTCTCCGTTGCGAAAAGCAGGGGCTTCTCTGAATATAGGGACATCAGGGGCAGGCTTTCGAATGACATCGAGGTGGATAGAGGTTGTTGTAACGGTGATTGCGGTGGCAACATGATAGACAGAGGAGGAGGAAGAGGAGGAGGAGAAGAGAAAGAAGAAAGACAGGAGGCCGTGGAGTGGTGAATTTCCAAAGGCCATCCTGTCTCCTTTTTACTTTAATGAGGGAGGAAACCAAGATTTTCTCAAGCAGCGAAAAGGGGTGAAAGAGTTGGAGCCATAATCTCCTGTTCTGTTTTTTTTTTTTTTTGTGTGTATGCTAGTTGGTTGAGACAACTTTTGGAGGGAGGTTAGAGAAAATGAATGAATGTTTTTGTGTGGTTGGTGGGATTGTAGGGAAGAGAATAATCCTCGGAGGATATTATAAATAAGATAGGTATTAATATCAAACATACTTGCCATTTTTGTTGCTATTGTCACTGTCGCATAAATTTTTGCACAATAAGAATTTAGAATTTAGAATCTCGCTTTACTTTTGTGTTTTTTAAAGAGATTTGTATATGGCTTCCATATTTTTTCCCTAAATAGTCGGAGATTGAGATTTTTTTGTTTTATCGAATCATTATCATGTCTTATAGTATTACCTTTTTGATTTAGGTTACCTTCGTTTCAGATTTGGGTGAATAAATTTTTAGATGCATGTAAATAAATGTTTAAAGATTTTTTTAATCTATATATCTATTTCATCACTTTTTTTAAAAACTCAGCCATCTTTTTCATCACAGGTGAGATTAGTGCAACCTTGATCGCATCGCAAAAGTTTCTTTTTTTACAAAAGTTATTAATAGAAATTAACTCTATTAATAAAACATTGATTTTGGGACACACCATATTATTAACTTCCCCATATTGATATTAAGAAATGTTTTACAACAATAGAAAATTTCAACTATAATAAAATGTGTAAGTGTAAAAACCTTGACTGTAATCATAGTTCGTCTTTCAGAGGTTCTTGAGAACACTGCTCATCCCAATAGTAGGGGAATTTCAATTTCGCAGCATTGTGAGGCATGGACCAGTCATCATATATAAACCTAATGAAAAACAAAAACATAGTACATAAGGATTAATGAACAACTAAAAACAGGAGAAAAAACATTGTTAAGAGATAGTCCGGTGATTGTGTCCATTGGGGAAAGAATGCTAGCGCCGAGTTCCACGAGTTCCAAAACTTTGTTGTTTTTTCAAAATATAATCGGGAGAAAAGACAAATTTATGAAAAGAAAGAAAAATATTTGCACCACTGTCCCATAATGTAAAATGTACATGTTGTTAATGGTGTCCTACTAAGTGGGCCAGGGCTTAGTTGTTGCATATTATTAATGGTGTAGAATAGAAGACGTGCATTCGAGCACAAAACTCTTGAAACACCACTAAATGAAATGTTTGTCACAAGAATCACAATAAGTTTAGTATAGAACCCATGACCCCAAGGTTGCAATGGAACAACCTTACCGTTGAACCAAGGCTACCCCTTCAGTTCATTCATTAAATAAGAGTTCTTAAAATATTGTATAAAAAACCACTCTGAAATTTAAGACCCATGAGTATATATATATATATATATATATATATATATATATATATATATATATATATATATATATAACCTGTGGAAAATAAAAAGCCAAAGTTAATACACGTGTTTTTGGGGATACCAACTACCAAGTTATTCGGAACTAAGAATGCTTTTGCACCAATTAATACTTATTTAAGTGTTGGCAGTTTGCATATTTTTAAGAGCCAAACAAGATTTACCACTATCTTTTTCTTTTTTTGAAGTTAAGAGTCATAAATATCACCTCAACAGTAAAGTATGAAATTCAAGGAGAATGGGAATAGAGGTCACTTACACTTTAACTGGTGGACGAGATATTATAACTAGAACTTGTAAATCCTCATTCTCATTGGTGTTCCAAAGCTGCAAGACATGTTCTTCATAATTATTTAAAAATACACAAGGGAAAACTGTCACCGAAGAACAAGTACAAAATATGTAACATTGTTAATTATTTAAAGAAATAATGTGCATCATTCATTTGCCAATGCTCACTGAAACATTGTAAATATTTTTCCATCTTTTGAGCATACATTACTTTATATATTTGAAACAATCTTAGAATATCCTGTTTTTCATCATGGGTTAGAACTTAGAGTAGAATACAAGCAATGAAGATGGAACTAGGAAGTAGGAAGTTCCTAACAAACTCCCTAGAGTTACTTCACTATGACCAACTTACATTTTTTTGGACATCATTTGAATCTGAAGTCTGCACATAGACCTGACCAGAATTTATACTGTTTCAATCAGCTCACGATTAAAGTTCACAATTGACAAGGTGAGTGAGGTCGGCTCTGCATGCCGGACTGCTATAATTTCTCGAATAAAAATTTAAAATCGTGGCATCCCTAACTCTAAAACAAAATTGTTAGCAAAACATAACGACACTCATTATAACCTTTCTTTACCAAGTTACCATTATCTTCTTTTTACTGAGCAACAACAGTATGCACTACTTAATCCCATCCACAGCATCTTGTCCCTTTATCACTGTTTTGTTCTGTTTAAAACACATAATCCCATACTCAATAATGATACTAAAGAATATGTTTGCTATCTTGTCAATCTAAATTTTATACGTTTTTAATATGAGGCACATCACATGCATCAAAAGGTGTTTTTAAACTACTTAATTGTAGTGAAGAAATTATTAACAGGATTGGATCGTAAGATACAATTCTCAAATTCCCCACCCCTAATCAAAATCGAGCTGGAGAAATCTCACAGTTCTTAAATGATTTACCTGATGAGCATCATTAGTTAAGGAATATGAAATGTGTTATTTGGAAAGATAAAGGGCTCCTTTGGATTTCCGGGGTTTTCCCATGTGAATTTGATGCAATATAAAGAGTGGTTTTAAACTATTTAATTATAGTGGAGGAATTATTAACAGGATCAGATCATAAGATACAATTCTCAGATCCCCCCACCCACGAAACTAAATCAAGCTGGAGAAATCTCACAGTACTTAAATGGTTTACCTGATGAGCATCATTAACAGGAATATGAAATGTGCTATTTGGAAAGATAAAGTGCTCCTCTGGATTTCCGGGGTATTTCATATGTGAATTTGATGCAATATAAAGAGTGCCACTGCCTTTGAGAACAATAAAAACTTCTTCACAAGAATGCCTATGAATCGGGGTGTGTGTTCCTGGTGAAAATGTTTGAAGCCATACTTCAACCTGTTCAAAAAAAAGTTCACAAAAATAATATTATACAAACAGATCATTGACCATACAAATGCCCAAAAAACAGGATGCTATAACTTAAATAATTGATTTTCTTAACTAGAAAATATAGTGTAACTATCAACAACACATGTTCTATTCCAATAAACAAAAGGCATGAGCACCAAGTATGGCACATAGACCCGGTTTGGATAAAGTTTTTAACAAGCACAAATAAAAAAAGAAAAAGATGAAATAATCTTGCAACGAACCATGATCTTCTAAATAACAACTTCCCGCATCAGCTGAAGTTAGCTTGCCCACCTGAACTTTTTCATATGCAATCTCATTTAACTTCTCCACAACCACCTATAAACTTCTAAGAACTTTTTCATAAATTAGAAACCAAATAACTATCTCAGTTGAGAAGCTCCAATTAACTAGAAAATAATCCAAATTGGGCCAAATCTATCATTCCATTTGTTAACTTCTTAACTCCTTTCTACATTTACAACTTGAAACCTAACATGCAAGACAACTTGACAGCCTATTTGCTTAATGCCAATATTATAGTAATAACTTCATGTTCTATTCTATGATAGTACATTTGTTATTCTAAGTCACATAAAACTATAAAGGTGTAGTCACGACGAAGTCCAAGAAAATGTTGAACCGTTCTTTCAGAAATCGCACCGGACCTGATTGTTCAACCAGATTGCAGTACCGCCAACATAATACTAACAATGCTAACTTTCTACTTGAAACTAGGATTTATAGTTTTTGAGCCTAAACGTGATTTTTACATTTACTGTTAAACTCAATTTTGCAAGAACTTTTCCAAACATAAACCCCTTTCCCTTCAACTCACTTAATAAGTTTCCAGAATCAATTCACTCATAATCAATTTTTTACATCGCAGAACCAAAAAGGTAAACAAAGCTGTATACCTCATTCATTCTGTGCAAGATTGAGCCAGCAACAGTTACATGAGAGAGACCTGGTCTACCGTAGTTATCCTGAGGAATCTCGCTGATATTTCTCACCAGCGGTAACCCTGCAAAATTGTTGATTCCAAAAATGTGAATTCAGCAAAACCTAATAACAAATTTAACAGAACAATTGAAAAGGGAACAAAAATTAAGCATGCCATGTAGTGACTAACCAGTGATACTGATGGAGGAGCATGGTGGAGAAGAAGCGAAAACGGTTGAAGAAAATGAGATGATACTAAGCAACAGAGTAGTTATAAAAAAACGTTCTGCCATTTTTGAAAGTTTCTTCTTCTTTTCTTTGTTGGAACAATTTCTGAAGTTTCCAGTTGCGCACCACGCTACTGTAATAGTATCGAGCGACAATTGTCTAATGATTAGTATCACCATTTTTCTTTTTTAAATTTCACCTTATTTTTCTTCACTTAATAATTAAATATTTATTTAATTTTTATTCACTATAAAAACACTCTACTTTATCAACTTTTTTTTTATGTTTTTATTTGCTTTTATGATTTTATCTTTACAATTATATATTAGTAGAAGACTCGTGCGTCAGTCTGGATAAAAATATTTATATTTTAAATTATTTATTTGAAATGAAATAAAAATTAATGAAAAATTTAGCTATGAAAGGATCCTATCATAGTGTAGCGGTGAAAATCGAAGATCAATCTATTAATTAACTTGACTCACAAATAAGCAAGAGTCGTCACCGCGCTTTATTATTTCCAAAAGAAAAGAGAAAAGTGTGAAATAAAATTAAAGTAAGTGCAATACTAAAAGTAAAGAAAAATACAATGCATTTGAAAAGATCGAAGGTTCGGGGGTTGGATATACAAAGGGAAGGTACTAGCACCCTATGTATATATAGTATCCTATACGAACCTTTTGAAATATTTGTGTTTTTGGTTAAAAAGTTTATTTGCAAAAAAGATCAGGGAGGTGAGAAGTTTTAAAAATGCAACGACCTACTGTCGAGATTTTGACTTAAAAGGGTGCAAATTTGAAAATAGGGTTTTAAAGATTTTAACTAATGGGAAACAAATATGAGGGACAAAATATAAAGACTCGCAATAACATAAAGTCAACGAGACGATCTTTTCCCTTGGATTCAAACACAAAGATAATAATCAGATGAAGACCGTACAAGAACCATGCATCGGATAAAAATGGATAGTAACCATATTTCAAAGATTAAATAACCAATTTTAGAAAAAATTTTCTTTATTAAGTGGCTTATAACAAGCAAAAGAAAATAAAAAGCTCAAGTGAGTAAAGAGAAGGTAAATGCTCAAGTGAGCAAAGAAAAAATACATAAAGTAAAGAAAATAAAATGTTATGGATGATAAATGGTATAAAAGTAAAGAGAGGAAAATATAAAGTGCGGAAATATAAATGACATTAAAGTAAAGTTAGTGCAATATAAAGTTAATAATCTGATTTGAGATAAATGTAACTTCATATGAAGCATAGAATGTATATACTCATACATGTTAGAGAAATGACATTTTGAAGTTCATTCTCTTATACATGTAGTACAATTAATAAACATGGAGATCAAGACAAGGTCAAGGAAAATACATTATGACAAATTTATCATCAATCCCAAGTATCTTAAATAATCAAAAGA